CAAAAATATTGGTGGTATTTTTTGACGGTGTAACTTTACAAACGGCACCTGATAGTGGTATGGAGGAGAAATCAGGACAAAAATCACCATCAGTGAAAGAAACTGACTTAGTGAGACAAAACAGCAGCAACGATAAAAGATGGTTTAACTATCAAAAATAAGAAATATTTCTTTTAATAAACTGAGTTAAACTTGTTTTACAGCAGATATTAACACAAATACTAATTTTTAAAACATATTTAAGTCAAATAAGTACAGAAATATTTTTAATATTTAAGAGATGAAAGTGAATAAATAAATGAATTGCGAGTCGTGCGCTCCAACATTCATCTCAGACCCAACAGTAAAAAAGCAGGAATGTTGTAAATCTGATGAGGATGAGGAGGGATATTAAAATCTTAATTTCCCTCAATTTAAAAAAAGAAAAACTGAAAAAACTCAAAGTGTGGGGCTTCAAGTGTAAAATGAAATGTTAAAACATTTTTTAAAAATTGTTAGCAGAGGCTAGCAGCAGCTATTGTCACAGGATGATGACATCACCCTGATATTCTGATGCTAACTTCTGCTAACACTGCTAAAGATAATATTTAAAACCTAAATTCAAAACATGTTCATAAAAACAACTGTGGTCCACAAGTTTGATGTCTTGCAGCTTTAGCTGCATTGGCGCTAGCGGTTGCTATTGTCTCAGGATGATGACATCATAACATGAGCCGAGCACCAACGGCAAAGGCTGCGTTCCATTACAAAACTCCTAAATGTGCACTTCAACATTTAAAGTTTAACTTTAACATTTAGGATTTATTATTTAAATATATTTTAAATATTTAAATTTAACATTTAGAAAAATTAATTAATGAAAAATGTGTTTGGGAATTTTTTAACATTTCATTCTTAGTTTAGTGCTGCATATTAAAGAACCTGAGAATGATGATTTGCCATTAAAACTGAAGAGGCTGATATTCAAGGTGATTATTTGCTAGAGAACAGGTGTGCTGAATAATAAACCAGGTGCGCAGATCAAGCAAACAAAAAAAGCTTCTGTAATGTAAAACAGGAAGTTAGCTCAGCTGCTAACAAAACCAGGATTATCAGATCAGTGACCCAGTGTGAAGGTGAGCGACCGTGTCGTTCAAGATGGCCGCCACGGCTAATCGACCTCATCAAACACACTTTGTCATTTTTAAAGATATTGAACAGAAATTTGGTGTTTTAGCAGCTGAAAGTCTCCCAACACGTAGCCTGAGCACTAACAGCTGCAGAAGATGTTGGTGGGCGATGTGCCCCACCTGGAAACTGGTTTTAGAACCGGACCGGTTCACAGCTGCAGAACTTTTCACTCCGATTGCAGGATATTAAGCAGAAGTTGTCAAAAAAATAAAAATAAACAACACCTGGCTTTGTCTCAGAACATCTTTTTTTAAGGGGATCCCTGAGTAGTTGTAACATTAGACTTTATTTGATAAACATTTATTTTAACTGTAAAATAAAGACTGTAAAAATACTGTAGGATGTTTAGTTTTGTAAATTTTTAAAAATATATTTTAACACGGACGGAGCCATTTTATTTCCACGCAAAGCATTCTGGGTAAATGATGACGTGGATAGGTCCTCGGTGCGAGGCTGCTAGCGAGCTATATCCACCCTGAAGGTTAATCTTGGACAATATCTGATGATCGACTCTTTTAAATGAAACCAGAGAGCGTTGACAGAGAGGAGAAGGTAGAAATGACTCTGCCTGGAACTGAAAATATGGATGGAGGATCTCATTGATAAGAGAATGTGTAGCGCTGAGCTAATACATATATATGGTGATAGCATCGGGGCTAATGCTAAAGCTAACAGGCTAATCTGAGGTTGTTCTTCCATGAAGCAGCTCTGTTGTCCTCCATCCATATTTTCAGTTCCAGGCTGAGTCATTTCTACCTTCTCCTCTCTGTCAACGCTCTCTGGTTTCATTTAAAAGAGTCGATCATCAGATATTGTCCAAGATTAACCTTCAGGGTGGATATAGCTCGCTAGCAGCCTCGCACTGAGGACCTATCCACGTCATCATTTACCCAGAATGCTTTGTGTGGAAATAAAATGGCTCCGTCCGTGTTATAATATATTTTTAAACTTTTAGTTTAAAAATGATAAAAACTAAACAGCCTACAGTATTTTTACAGTCTTTATTTTACAGTTAAAACATGTTTATTAAATAAAGTTTAATGTTACAACTAATCGGGGATCATTTTAATCGTCTTTATGTCAACAAAACAAAAACAAACAAACAAATAAAAACAGCAAATCCCTTTAAAACGAATCTTAAAAGCAGTTTCTTTTTCTTTTTTGGCAGAAATCTCAAACAACATCGCTGCTTCTAAAGTACGACAGGCCTCATCAGCCGGTTCTGACAAGACCGGTCCAGAAGTGAAAACTGGGCCGGAGCCAGGAGGTGAGTTTGGACTGAAAGTGGTTACACACAAAACAACAGAAAGATAAAACGCATCGAGTTAAAATCAAGGTTCTGCATCAAGACTTTTGCACGGTTCTGGATCCAGACTTTACGAAGCATGTTTGACCCCGGACGTGTTCGAGGCACGTTCTTCCACCAGAACCGCCGGTGGACCGGCTCAGGTCTCGACCCGAGGGTCCTGCTCACATGTGCCATCAATCTGCCGCCGTTCAGGAGCTGCAGAGGAGCTGCAGGTTCAGGTGGCGTAAAAACAGCGACCCCCCCATGACCTCTGAGTGGGAGCGTTGTAACGAGCACCAGGTGTAACCAGACCTGATGGAGGCGGGGAGCAGAAACTTTTACTCAACAGTTTTTGAACCAAACTTCAAACTGCGAGCAGAGTTGGATGTTTCAGGTCCACTCAGACGGAGCTAAATTCCCACAATGCATCAGGATGTGTAACAGAAACCTGCTGACGGGTCAAAATAAACACGACGCCTCCGATTCTTATGAAAACCTGAAGCTTCCTAACGTGTCGTTACGTAACTCGGCTCAGCAGAGAGTCTCTCGTTTTGACTCGAACAGGAAACTGCAGGATTTTATCTGTTTTTCCTGTTTGGTTTTAAAGAAAATAATTTTAATCCTTTGTTTTCAGGCGTCGCCACGCTGAGCGAACTCACGTCAGATTTTAGTCGATGTTCTCCACGATAAATACACTAAATCAGTTCTATGGAAAAGAACCCGTCCAGAAGACCTACTGTATATAATTTTTTTCTTTTTGTTTTTTTTTACCTGGATTACTGAGATGCATCAGGACAACCACTAAACATCACAAACATGAAGTTTTTAGTCCTGTCTGTGTCTGAAAGTGAGCAGAAATATTAGATTTTAAATAACTTTAGTGACGGTCGGGCTTCACGGTAAATAAACGAGAATTCGGAGTACGGAGTCTCAGACGTGTCAAAATAAAACATATTTACAGAAACATCAGTTTTTCGAGGTTTTGAGTGTTTGAGGCTCTAAAACTTATAAAAATAAAATCAACAACTTCAGGTGAATGAAGTGACTTCCTGTTTCAGAAGATAAATTAAACAAATTAGAGTCTCGCTCACCTTTCTGTATCATTTTAAATAAATCGGAGAAACAGGAAGAGGAAATAGAAAAGAGTTAACTTCCTGTTGAGCCTGATCAGCAGCAGGTCTGTTTGTCGGCGTGAAGAAATAAAAACAAATCAAACAAAAACCTGTTTCATCTTTTATTAAATTCTAAGAACAAAAACATAACTAATAAATTAATTAAAACTTTGGTTTTGTTCAAAACTATAAATAATTTTGATTGCACTTAAAAAAAACGGCCAAGAATCAAATGAAATTCACTCTAAACTAAAACATGAACCCAGTGAGAGTTTTATCGTTTATTAAATTATTATTAAACATTTTGTCTGAAATCTGAATAAATCTGATTATTATTTCTGTCAGAGTTAAAGAAAATGTTTGCTTCAAGTTTTAAATTCACTGTTTTGATTTTAGATAGAAATTTAAGTTTCTGAGCTGCGAATCTAAAACTTGCTTTTTCATTAAAAAATTAAAATAAAAATAAATGTCGCTTTTCAAATGAAAACTCTGAAATGTTTTTTTTATTAAATTGTATTTTAGATCAGTATTTTTTTGTTTTTATACGTTACGATAATCTTTCAATTTTCGAACGTTTGTTTCCTGCTGAAGTTGAGTTTATTTGTTGAGCAGGAAGTGCCTTTTAAAAATAAAAGCCTTTTATTTGGATTCATCTGTTTGCAAAACAGCTTCTTTCATTTCTCTACATTTTAGACAAAATTTTAAATTTAAAAAAAATCTGAGAAAGTTAATGTTTTTCCTTACTGTAAGACTAAAGGAAGTCCTGGTTCTGATCCAGAGGTTCTGATCCACACCGGTCCAGAACCCTCCAGTCTTCAGTCTCTGATACTGTTTGAACCAAGGCGTTTTAACCATAAATCACCAGAAAATAAAAATATTATATTCCTTTATTTTGTAAAATTATTTTAAATTTATGATGTCATTTTGTAACGACACAAAAATCGAAGTTATTTTTTTTAAACTGCAGAATTTGTCGGCGGTTTTTAGTTCGATTCACATCGAATGACTTTTTAAATTATATAAAAAATAAAAATACACCATGTCTGTTTGTTGACTTTAGTTACGTAAATATAAAAAACTTCATTTTTGATTAAATGTTTGGATTAAACTTTATTTAAACCGATTTAAAACTTGTGAAAAGTGTTTAAAATGATTAAGACCAATTAAATAAAAAAGCTAAATGTGTTTAAATTCATCCGAACTGTTCTGACTTCACTGTTAACTTCATTTCTGAAAACTAATATTTAAATAAAAGAAATTAAAGAAATTGAACTGAGTGAAGTCAGGTTTTATTTGAATAAATTGACTTTTTGTTTGCCTCAAACTGAGCTTGAATCAGTTAGAAAAAAATTTTTCCGTAAAGCTTCAATAAATCTGAACTAAAACTGAAACAGAAACAAAAAAATCAACAAACTTTTCGTTCAGTTGAACCAAAAATGTTGTCCTCGACTCGACTCGGCGGTTATTTTTGACGCAGATGTTTTTCAGTGACAGGAATGTGGAGAACAGAACCAAACCCATCAGTCGGTTCTGAACTTCTGGTTTTTGCTGTTTGAATGAATAAAAACAGATTTTCAGACGTCAGAATTTAAAATGTTCAACGATCAAAACGTTAACGGAGAAATGACGACGGGTCGGTTCTTCCTTCGGTTAAACTCCAGTTCTGATTCAGGCCCGTTGGTTTTACAGTCACTGATCCAAAAGAACCGACTGACAACAGAACATTTATAAATAAATAAATAAAAATATTAAAACGTGAAAAAATCTAAAGAGTTTTTCCACAAACACAAACCGAAGCCTCCATCAGGAGCTGCAACCAGTTTTTCACCGTCTCGTATGACAAACATGGAAACGGTCCCACCTGCCCGGACGGTACCGTCACCCTGAAACCCAACACGCCTCGGTTCTGTTCGGGTTTCAGGAGGAACCGGGTCCAGATGCAGCAGGGTCTCAGTCAAACGTAAAGAAACCGGTTCTGACAGGAGGTGGAGCAGCTCTTGCAGCTCACCTTTGACCTTTCGGGCCTAAACTCTGGACCCAGCTCCGGGCTCTGAGCCGTTAGCGTGGCCCGTCTTAATCCCAGAATCAAACCCGTCTCTTCGACCCGAACCTTGTTGTTCTGCTGCGACCCGACGGCCCCTCACCAGCAGGTTGTGTAATGCAGCCGGACCCCCCTCACTTATGAGTAAATTCTTGAGGAAATGCCAGACGCTGGCGAGCGCGAGGACCACCACATACCTGTCTGGGCTCGGGTTTTTACAGGCGGGTCGGTTTAGGACAGGGGTCTGCAACCTGCGGCTCTGGGGCCACATGTGGCTCTTTGGTCCCTCTGCAGTGACTCTTTGAAAATGTGACCAAACATAACAGAATAGTTTTTTTTTATTTTATACCCACAACAGAAATCAATTTGTACACAGTATGTGATCAGTACTACTCATAAAAAAATAAAACATGTTAGCTCATGCTAACCTCTTGTTTACTTAATTAATACAACTTATTTTTCTCAAATCCATCAGAATTACCTTTTAAAGAATTTGAAGACTACATAATAATAAGAATTAGAAGGAAAAAAATGCCTGAATAATTCAGTTGTAGTAGTTTTTATGAAATTTGATATAAATATACAATATTTTTCTTGTTTACATGAAAACGTTCTTTTTATTTGTCCTGATGTGTATAATAATAAATAATATTATAATAATAGCAATATTTTTTAGTTTTATAACGTCCCCTCCACTGACCGTGAAGGTTCCCGAAAAGGCCTTGAAAAGGCCCGCGGACCACCAGTTGATAATCACAGTTGTGGCTTGTTTTGTGGCTCTGGACACATTTTATTAGCGAGACAAGGAGCAGAAATGGCTCATTTGATTGTAAAGGTTGCAGACCCTTGGTTTAAGAGGACTCGTTAGGACTAGAGCCGAGCAGCCGAAGCGATGAGGAAACAGCCGAAGCGATGAGGAAACAGCCGAAGCTCTGGATGCTGTGAGAAGCAAGAATTAAAGCAGGAAAATATGCTGTTTTTGTTTTTCTTCCTGGTCTCCTGCAGAGAGCTGAACTCTGCACAAACTGAAGCTTCGGCTCTGATCCTGACGAGTTCTGCAGGAACTGGGTCGGGCTCGTACTCACCGCTCTGCTTCTGCAGGACGCCGGACCCCACCCGGACCACCTCACACAAAAAGGACATCACAAACGCCAAGAGTCTCAGATGCATCTGGGCTGCTGGCAAGCGCCCGCTTCAGCGCCGGGCTGCGGACATCTGCGGGGTCTCTCCAGCAGGGCCGGGGATGAGGATGGAGACGGGACGGTCTTCTCGAGCTCCAGAGATGGTTTGGTTCTGATGCGAGGAGACAGGAGCTCGTAGCGCCGAGCTGCTTCCTGACACTGGCAGATTTCGGGGGGAAAGCTCAACGTTTAACTGTCAAAATTGCGATAAACGAGCTCCACTTATCCCCTCGCCATCTTTAACCCTTTCCAGGGCGAGTGCTCGGGGCCTTAAGTGGTTCCACATTTCACCCTCCTCCTCCTCCTCCTCCTCCTCCTCCTCCTCCTGCTCCTCCTGCCTCTACCTATTGTTTTTCACTCTCTTAGTCGTAGTTTTGCTGTTTGCACTTGGCAGCTTTGTTTGCTGTGATCCCATGAACTGTGAGCAGACAGTGGAGCTAATTTGACCTCCAGGAAAGACGAGCAGCTGCAGAGGCCGGCCTTTAATGGAAGCCTGTTGTGTTGCTCCAGCTGATTTGTTGCGCTTTTTTTAGGTCAACATTAAAGAAAAAATCCTCCCGTTGGTTAAAGCTCTGTCAAACTTTAACATTTTAAACAACTAATAAACATTTCTTTATGATTAAATAACTCATAGGTTATAAATTAGACCATGTTTGTTGTGTTTCTCCAGACGGATGTTGTTCTGCACTGCATCTTGATGTTGTGTGTGAACGACAACAAACGAGTCTGATTCTGATTAGGCTGCTGCCCCCGAGACCTGACCCCGCATAAGACCCAGATTCTTTTATTGTCGTTCAACACAACATCAGAGATGCACTGCAGAACGACACTACGACAGAAACAGCCTGACAAACTATAAAACAATGTGGAGCTCAAAATACAAAAATTAAACAAAGTAAACTGACTTAGGCATATAAAAACAAACACAAGAAGTATATAGTAATAAAATAAAGTAGAAACAGTGAGGTAGAATTCCGATCAATATCGAGGTAGAGGTGGTTTAAATAAAAGATATGTAGTAAGCAGGGCTGCAGCGATACAGAAAATTCACGGTTCGATATATTTTAGATACAAAAAAGAGAAATGTCCATGCCCCTTTTAACTTGTAATTTATTTAAATTAATTATGAACATTTGTTTAACCTCAAAAGTCCAGTTTTTTTAATTAAATGTTGCTGAAACAGCAAGTTTCTCAGTGGATCTGTGCTCAAAAATACAGCCTAGGTGGAGTAGTCGAACACAGATCCACTGATCCTTCAACACAGAGCATCTTCAGAAGACAAGTTGATAAAATAAATTTTATAAATCTGTGTTGTTCCATACATAGTGTGTACTGAACCTAAAGCACTGTTCGATACAGGTACATGTATTGTTGCAGCCCTAGTAGTAAGGTGTGTACATTTGCATTTGTGTGACATTGTGTGTGCAAAACAGTGAGCAGGTAGATGGGAAGAAAACGGACGGAGGGCCCTGAGATAATTTATATAAAACCCAGTTCAGCTCATGTGAGCTGTTTAAACTCTGACTCATTTTAAATCCCATCATCATCATCGTCGTTTCTCAGTCCTATAAAAGTCCTCCTGACTCGTCTCCAGGTCACAGTGACCCGGCTCACCTGCTTTCATCGTGAAATGGTGAAAAGCTCTCCAAAAACGATGACTCTGGCGTGCTAACGATGAGTCTGACATGCTAACCATGACTCTGGTATGCTAACGATGACTCTGGTATGCTAACGATGARTCTGACATGCTAACGATGACTCTGGCGCACTAACGAAGCCCACGATGAAGAGCAACGACCGTTAATGAAAACCCGACCCCCCAGGTGTTCTGGGTCCAGGTCCTGATTAGTCTCTCGTTCTGAAAACTCCCTCAATAAATTCCAACTTTTGCACGAATGTTTGTTGCAAAACAATAAAGCATTCGTCCCATAAGTGTTTAAAGCATTAAAATCCCACAGATTAATAAAATGAGAGGCGAGGAGGATGAAGACGTCCCGTCCTCAGCTGTAAATCTGACAAACGTGGGTTTATTTGGCTCTGCTGGGAGGTTTCTGTTCTTCCAGTCAAACCTGTCACTCTCACTGGTTTCTGTCATCAATTTTAACATCAGAATCTTAAAACTTGGCGCTTTATTAAAAAAAGAAAGAAATGAAATTTAAAGTGTTCGAGCCAACATGTGGCTGCAGTCATGTGGCTTCCACTTTGACTCACAACCATTTCTCGTGTCTCTTTAGTCACAACTTTTACGGTTTAATGTCTCTGTTTTGTTCGACACAAACGTTTGATTCACTTCCTGAGTCTCAGCAGATTTTTGGGCCGAACTTCACCTTTTGATTTGCTTTGAGCTTTTAAACTGAGAAACTTTTTCTTTTAACGTCATCGAATCAAACCGAGCGGCTTCAGAAGAAACAAAAATTAATTTCAAATGAATGTTTGTCTCATATTTAACCAAAAACAACCCAAACATGATGGAAATATAGTTTTTGTTTAATTAAATCGGAGCTGATCTCCTCACATTTCCATGAAATCCCACAAACATTTTCAAAATGCTGCTCAAGCAACGCTTCATTTAGAGGAATAAAAAAACTTGTTTTTAGGGAACTCCTTACGTAACTAAATATCAAAGCAGGTCTTTATTGACAGCAGGCTCAGCATGGAGACTGAAAACAAGCTCAAATATATATTTATAAATCCAGCGTCACTTTAAGTTTATGATTTTTTTTGTTGCAAAAGTGAAGAAAACTCTTCTTGGTGTTTCCTCCTCTGCTCCAGATGTTTTTCATTTCCTCATGAAAACGCTGTGAGGATGAATTCTTCTCGAGCCGAGGTGTTTAGGGCTTCGTTTATGCGAAGCGTTCCAGTTTCTGTGGTCGGGTTGGGGGGAGGCAGCGGGTCCGGGAGGGAACCCCAGACATCCCTCACTCCAGATCCTGATGTGGTCCCCGGACCACAGGGGTTATATAATCCCTCTGAAGAGCTCCGAGGTCTTCCCCAGGGCTCTGAACAGGAACATCCTAATGGTTTCAGTCCAACTGAGAGCTCCATCTCTGGCTTTATTCTCCTGGACCGAACTGACAAACTAAAACAAAGTGTTAAAGGGATCCCTGATTAGTTGTAACATTAGACTTTATTTGATAAACATTTATTTTAACTGTAAAATACTCAGCCTGGAACTGAAAATATGGATGGAGGACAACAGAGCTGCTTCATGGAAGAAGAACCTCAGCTTAGCCTGTTAGCTTTAGCGCTAGTACTGACGCTATATTGCCTTATACGTATCTATTAGCTCAGAGCTAGCACGTCAAACAAGCTAAACTGAGGTCCTCCATCCATATTTTCAGTTCCAGGCTGAGTCATTTCTACCTTCTCTCTGTCAACGCTCTCTGGTTTCATTTAAAAGAGTCGATCATCAGATATTGT